GAAGACAATGGATTTTTTTAATAAAAGTGAAATTTAATAATTAATGAGCTTGATATAAAGTTATATTTTGTGGCCTTTTAATTAAATTATTATTTTTTAATTTTCCATTTTCTTTTCGTGTTTTATAGTATGTTTCTAAGAGCTCACTTTTTAAATTTCATCTCCAGAAAGCCTGTAAGTCCTAAGCACTTAGTTATAGTTGTTTAACGAATAAAAGACAGGCACTGAGCACCCATTTACGTGTGTGAGTGTGTGTGTGTGTGTGTGTGTGTGTGTGTGTGTTTGTGGCGGAGAGGGGGTTGTGGTGATGGTGAGCGGTGAGACTTGTGTTTTCTCGAAGATAGAATTTCATTTATTTGAATTTTGTTCAAGGACCATTTAACTCTCTCCTTTGGATGCCTCATGTGTAAATACAAGCATAAGGCATAAGACCTTTATTCAGTTAGGCAAAATGCCATCTGATGAGGATAAGTGAGAATTACCAGAGCTAGACATTAAGGAATTTACTATAGAATTGACAAAACTTGAGTTATGCGATATCAGACATGAAGGAGAAGCAGGGTTCACAGATATATCTGAAGTTTCAAACTTGATAACTAGTTAAATCATAGTATCATTAGCAACCATAAGTAAGTCAGAAGGCAGTGGTGGATAAAATAATGATTGTAGCCAACTTACAGAAAATTACTTAACACATACAGAAGCATGTAAGTAAGCATGATCCTGGAAGAGATTCTAAAAAAAGAGATACAAAACTTCGCTGCAAGATCAGATCAGGCCCAGGGAAATGATGAAATTAGTCAAGCTTGCCTTCATCCCCCTCTGCTGGCCCTAGGCTGATTGGATACATATCTTTACCCAGCTTTGACTCTGGGTCAGTATACATCCTAAACACCACTTCATGACTCCCTCACCCATGACCTTCAGCTCTGCCTGCTATACTAATTCCCAAGCCTACTGCACCTTCTTGGGATAGTTTCCCTACTCCTGATTTCCAACTGCCAAGTATTGCCAGAGAAAGTTACAGACCCATGCTGATGTGGACCACTACGGAAATCCACACCATCTGCCTCCAACTGAGCGCTCTCTGTTGCTCTAAAACCCTTTATTAACTTTTCTGGAATCTCTACCACTCTCCAACAGTGCCTGTTCCCCTCTCCTCTGCCTTATTCAAGTCCCCAAACCCTCTCCTCTCAACTTCAATTTCATCAGAAATTTCATCAGATAAAATGTGATCATTCAGGTAGAGCAGTTACCATAGTGCCTGGCGCATAGTGGGTTCTAACTAAAATACTTACTGTTATGATGGTTAGTATTGAATGAATGGCATACTGTGTTATTTGAAAATTTGGGCACTGGAGTCAGACAAACCTGAGTTTGAATCCTGATTCTGCCATTTACTAGCTAATAGGCAAGTTGCTAAACCTTTCTGAGTCTGTTTTCTCATTGTTAAAATGGTATCATATTACTACTTTACGGGGATTTAGTGAGAATAAATGAATGTACTTGAAGCCATGAGGAGTGTGTCTGTCACATGAGTGTTCAATCTTAGGCGCCAGGATTATTATTGTTGTCATTGGTAATAAAATATGCACTTACTACTTTAAAAAAAATCATCATCTCCTTTGTGAGAAACCACAGTTTTTAGTGTCCTCACCTTAATATAGTTCCATTTCTTCATAACCTCTTATTCTTTACAACAAATATTTGAGTCCATCACTATCTGCTGGGCGCTGTTCTAGGTGCTGGGGAAACTGTAGCCTTGGAGGAAGAAATATCTCTCCTCTTCTCTAAGTTTGATTCCTCTATCTGCATCTTGGATCCTTGTCTTTTCCAATCACCAACGGATTTTTCTTGCAACCTTTCTGCCTCCCTCTTATAGTGTCTTAAATGTCCTCCTCTTCCTTGACTCCTTCTTTGCTTTAAAGTGGCTTCAGGTTTTGTCATACATTTCCATTTAATCCTTCTAACTAATGTAATTAAAATTGTATTTCGCTCCTTTTTATTTCCAAACTTCTTCAAAACATGGTCTCTCTTCTCCATGTCCTTAGTATACAATCTCACCTCAATTCCCTGTAATCTTGTTCCTACTTATACCATTTATTGAAACCATGGATTTCGTGGTCTCCAGTGGGCTCCTGACACATCCAGAGAAAGTCTCTCAGTCCTCATTTTCCTTGTCCTGTTTTCAGCATTTGATGTGGCTCTTATTATTTCTTTGTGTTTCTTTCTTTCTTTCTTTATCTTTATTTTTCTTTATTTTTTTCCCATATTATTTATTTTTCATTTTCATTGATTGCAAACATTTTCAATCAATCAAACAAATGCAGGAAAGCACATGGAATGACATTACCAATATCTGTACCCTCCACTCAGATCTATCAAGTCTGGCCACATCAACTTTCAATTGTGTTTAAAGAAATAAATATTACAGATGGAATTGATACTCCCTGTATGACCTTCCCCAGTCTCAGTCCTCTTGGATTTGGTGATGATCATGCTCTTTCAGGTTTTATATATTATTACTATTATATCTATGTAACCATAAGCAACATATAATATTTTCAGACTTTATTTAAAGGGTCTACTGTGCATGTTTTATAATTTTCTCTTTAAGCTCAACATTATATTTTGAGTTTTAACTCTGTTTATACATATAACTTGAGTTATTCATTGTAATTTCAAAATAGTATTCAACTTCATGAACACCATGATTTATTTATTCATTCACCTACTGATGGACATTTAATTTGCTTCCATTTTTTTAGATTAACAATAATGCTGCAATGAACATTCTTTTACATGTGTCCTCATGCACAAAGGTTAGAATTTTGCCCCGGTCTGTAGCTAGAAATGGAATTTCTGGGTATTACCTATACAACTTTCTTGTGCAATGTCAAATTGCTCTTCCTAGCAGTGCTTCCAATCTATACTCCTTCTAGCAGTGATCAGAGTTCTATCTGTTCTACATTCTCAACAACACTTGGCGTTGTCTGAATTTTTAAGTGTTTGTCAAACCATGTGTAATAGTATCCCATGGTTTTAATTTTCAATTTTCATGAATAGTAATGAAGTAAAGCATCCTTTCGTGTCTTTATGGGCCATTTGAGTTTCTTTGACTATGAATTGCTTATTTATATATTTTGTCAGTTTTTCTACTAGGCTTCTTTTTTTCTCACTGATTTGAAGGGGTTCTTATACATTCTGGATATGAATTCATTCATTCATTCATTCATTCATTCACTTAATCAATATTTTTCCAGCATCTACTCTTCCAGGAATGGTTCTAGGCACTGGGAATGCAGGAATGAACCAAACAGACAAAAATCCCTGCCCTCACAGAACTTACATTCTAGTGGGGGATGGTAAACAAGAAACAAAATCAATAAGTAAAATAAATAGAATAATGGCAAGTGATAAATCCTCTGGAGAAAAATTAGCAGGGAGGAGGGATAGGGAGAATGTGCATATGGGAGTGGGAAAGGAGATTGCTGAACTGCAATTTTAAGAAAATTGTCTAGGAAGACCTCACTGAGAAAGTGTCATTTGAGCAAAGACCTGAAGGAGGTGAGAGTGCAGGCAGAGTGAGCAGCATGTGCAAAGGCCCTGAGGCAAGAGTGTGCCTGGAAAGTCATAGGAATAGCAACAAGCAGTGGGATTAAGCAGAGTGGGTTGGAGAGAGTGGTGAGAGAGGAAATCACAAAGGTGATGACAGTTAGATGTGTAGAACCTCAAATTAGCCCATGTCAGTTATATGCATTGAAAATAACTTCTAGCAGTCTGTGGCTTGTCTTTCAACTTCTTTAAGTTGTCTTGAAGTGCATGTATTTTGAAATTTAATGTGGTTAATTGTGTCAATCAATTCCCTTATTGTTTTTGCTTTTTAGTGTCTTAAGTAATCATTCTCATTCCCTATTCCAAAGTCATAATGATATTCTGCTATTTTCTTCTGAAAATTGTCAAGATTTGCTTTTCACACTTACATCTTTAATCAACCTGAAATTATTTTTTTCTCTATGGTGTGAGGTAGGGATCTAATTGTATAATTTTCCACATGGATTATCAATAGTCCCAGCACCATTTAGTAGATAATCCATTTTCCCCCACTGATTTGAAATGTCACATATGCTGCAAACCAACTTTCCATACACATATGGATCAGTTTGGTTCTATTGGTTTGTTTACCTGCATACCACACTGTCTTAATTACTATAGCTTTAAAATCAGTCTTGATATATAGTCCATTGTAGATTCTTGAGCAAATGAAACGCAACTGAAACATTACTCTGGGAAGAATATTCTTATGACTGTCAAGAGAGTAAAATGGTCAAAGGAGATATCACAAGGGCTTACAGTAAAGTGATGGCAGTGCAAATGGCGAGAAAACAAGGAATCTAAAAGTCATTCCAAAGAAGATATTAACAAGGCATGTTGGCTGATTGGATACAGAGAAGTTAGAAGAGAGGAAGGAAGTATATGGCTTTGAAGTTTCAAGCCTGGGTCGCTGTATGAAATAACGATGAGTTAGTCTTGTCATTCAGTGCTGGGGTAACAATGGGTTATATTAGGCAAGGGATCTGGGCCAGGGATATATATGGCCTTTGCTTGCTTAGAGGTGACCTTGAGAGGGCCAAAGAAAGAGCAAAGGTTTGAGCTTTGGGGATTTTTCCAATTTATGGGATGGAAGGAAGGAGGGGGGCACATCGGAGAGGTAGCCAGCACGGTGCATTCAATTAACCATAATAAGGATTTTTTGAATGGATGACGTGGGTCCTACTAGCCCCAACACTTTTGAGTTCCCGCATAGGTATGACTGCTTTGTTTCCATGGCAATCTTCAAAGTCCCCAGAACAATTCTAGTGTCACAGGCCGCACTGAAAACGTATTACTTGCTGGACGTGGTGGTAACGCCCCCGGTCCGTCGGGTCTCTCCCTGCAGTTCCGCAGGTTGGCCGCAGGGGGCGGAATCTGCGGCGGCCTGGAAAACTGGCGGGGGCGGGAGGCGCCGCTCTCTCTCGGGTCAGGCTCCCGGTTCCCGGCTCCCGGCTCTCGGCTCTCGGCTCCCGGCTCCCGGCTCCCGGCTCCGGCTCCCGGCGCCCGGCGCCCGGCACGGAGCCGTTACCCGAAAGACGCGCAGCCGAGGCGAGGGGGTGTGAGGACGCGGGAGGCAGTGTCGTCGGATCCGCCCGCAGTCCGCAGCCCCGCTGAGCCTGGAAGCCGCCGGGATGGAGCCGCGGCTCCCGGTCGGAGCCCAGCCCCTTGCCGTATCCGCCTGAGAGAAGGGGGAGGGGAGGCCGCGCAGGGCGGGGGCGGGGGTC